TGGCTCCAAACCCGTGATGCCGAAGAACGGGCAGAGTGGACAGCGCGTTTTCGAGAAAGCTCTCAGTCGCTCGGCGTCATCATCAAGGAAGTCTACCAGGCGCGAGATGCACACTGGCTGCCGCCCACACCAGCAGAGACAGCGTCCACCGCCCCGGGGAAGAGCGCTCCGCCAGCAGCCGCGCCAGCGGCCTCCAAGTTTGCATTGGGGAAATCGATCCAAGGCAAACAGGTGGCCAGAGTACTCCGGGATGGGACGCTCCTTTGCCAGGCATTCCAGGAAGGATCTTGCAAGAGTAAGGGGGGCAAATGCAAACTTGGCCAACATCGTTGCGGCCACGTTACCAAGAAGGAGCGGGTGTGTGGAGCTCCGAACCATGGGGCGGCCGCTTGCCGCAACACCCCGAAGGCCTGACGGGGCCTTGAAGAGGCAGCGGCAGCCTCTTCAGGGTCTGTCGAGGATCCGCCGCAATCAGGGGAGGGACCCCTGATGGCCGACCTGATGTCAGGACCCAATGCACCGCTCACCAGAGCCTTCATCTTTTGCGGCTGGCGATGCATCACCATCGACTGGTTGATCAACCCTCAACATGACCTCGCACACCCGGAGTTTCAGCAAGAGCTTCACGAGACGTTGCAGCAAGCCGATTGTATCTGTGCCGCTTTGGACTGTAGCACCAAGTCCCGCGCTCGAGAGATTCCCAGGAAGTTCGAGGACGGCCGACCCGCTCCGAAACCCCTGCGGTCCGACGAACACCCCACCGGCCTGCCACACCTCCGAGGGAGTGACCTTCGGCGAGTGACCAAGGACAACCAGGCCTGCGACTTTGTCCTCCAGGAAATCCAGGACCTGGCCGATCGCGGTGGAGTGTCACTGCGGGAGAACCCGGCGAGGAGCCTCCATTGGGAGCTGCCCCGCGAGAAGCAGATGCTGGCATCCGGCGATTGGCAGGACACCTGCTACGCGGCATGTTGCTTCATGGGGGCACGGTGCAAGCAGCAGAGACTCAGGCACAACATCCAGGAGATCTCTCAGTGGCCGCCACTTCAATGCCATCATCAGCACGACCCAGATGAGTGGAAGCCCTACACCTTGGACGGGCAGCGAGTCTTCCCTAGCCATGAGGAAGCTGAGTACACAGCCCCGCTGGCCTTCGCCATTGCGGTGTCCACTAGTTGGTGGGCAGTACGTGTCGGTCGAGCCAAGTTGCGCGTCCAGCGGATGCCGCCGACTGAGACTGTGGGCCGCCGGGAGCACTGGCTTCACTACGACCCCCGCTCTATGCGCAGCTGGGCTATGACTCCTTTGGCGATCCAGCTGGGCCTGCGCCCAATCGACCCGCGCGAGCGAGCACGGGTGCCTCGCGTGCGTCGAGTAGTCGACCTCTTGGTGGACGGCCACCTTCCATCCAAGTGCATCTACGTAGGGCGAGGGCATCACAGCCACAAGTTGCCCCTGTCGAAATGGTGCTCTCCGTACACCCCAGGGCATGATTGCACCGCAGATGAATGGCTTCCTTGCTATGTTGAGTTCATCATGTCCTCCAGGGCGGCGGAACTCCCAGAGCTGGCGGGCGGTACCTTGGCTTGTGATTGTCCGCACGACAGTGACGTGTGCGAAGCTGATGCGCTGGCAGGGTTGGTCTTTGACGCCACAGCCCCGGAAGCACCTCGCTACTTGGCAGCGGCAGGCGGGCAGGCCCAGAGGCATCACTCATCAGCATCTCGAGCATTGCGGTTGGGGGTCATCTCCAGCCGCGGAGTGGCTGCGAGCATCCCAGCACGCGTGGGCCTCTTCACTCAAGAAGGCGTGATCACGTGCTTCCGCCGCCTCTTCCCAGGTACATGGTTCCAGGACTTCAAGTTCCCGATGATCGAAGACCTCCTGAATCAGGCACCATTCTGCGAGTTTCCGCGCTGGAGAGACCAGCACGATCTCAAGGCAGATGGGCCCCTGGGACCACATTTGGCTAGCGCAGCTCTGAGACAGCGGCAGCGTCATGCCGAGGGCCAGCAAGCAGGAGCTTTGAGCCATAAAGCCGCCCTACCTCCGCTTTTGAGTTTTGGGCTGGACCCGGACACCCACTTCCAGCGTGCTTGCCTTCGAAGCCAGGCACCCATCCCGACTGAGCAGTCGCCCCTCCTGGACGATGATCTATGGTTCGTGGCTGAACTCTATGCATCGCGTTCCGTAGAGCTACCACGACTCCGCGAGCAGAGCCTAGGCATCTTGAAGGAGCTGAAGCAGCGATGGGGGAGCGTGGGCGAACACCTGCGGACTTTCCAAACATCAGCGATTCGGGCAGTTACCCGTTCCAGGGACATCGGCCTAACCGCTCTCTTGGTGACCCTAACCTCCTGGGCAGACATCACGTACCCTTACGGCTTGGTAGCGGGACTGCCAGCTGTAGGTACGGCACCACCCTACGGGGTCTTTCCGGAGCAGCCAGGTCGTAGCCTCACCATGGATGACGTGCTTGACGACTGGGAAACCCACAACTACAAGACCCTCGCCGCGCTCAAACCTGGCAGACATGATGCCGTGCTGCTGGAGCAATCGCTGAATGATGCTGCCCAAGGCTTCTGCTCTGCACCGTTGACCCAGGCACAGCTCCTACGAGAACTACGAGGAGAACCATTCCGCCTCATCCCCCGATGTGTGATTGTCCAATCCTCGGGCAAAAAGCGGATCATTGACAATGGAGATACAGGAGGCCAGTCGGAGAGGTCGTCGGATTGGAATAAATTGGTGCTATGCTCGCCGTTGCGCCCAGCACAACATGTGGGGGCAGTTGCCTCACTGTTGACAGATGAACAGTGGCACACCCTTACGACTGCTGATGAGTGGCAGTCAGGAGGGGAAGATTGGCCGAACGCGTATCGGCATTCCCCTATCAGTCAGGCAGAGAGCCGCGGCTGTATCGTCTGCTTCTGGCATGCTGAGCGGGGGGAACCCGCCTTTCAGGTGTATTCATCCCTCCTCTTCGGCCTTCCGCTCGCGGTTACATCGTTCAATCGGTATTCACGCCTCATTGAAGCACTGGGCCGACGGCTTACATACAGTCTGGTGTCTCTCTATTTTGATGACGCCCACATCACGGACCTCCAGTCAGGCCTCGGCTCTAGCCAACAAGCTTTCTGTCAGTTGAACACCTTGTTAGGTACTCCGTTTGCCGAGGAGAAGAAACAGTTGATGCAGCCTACCGGCACCTTTCTGGGCCTTGATCACGACTTTACGAACCTCAGTCGGGGCTTCGTGACGTTTTGGGCCCGTGACCGCTTGATTCAGAAGACAGCTGCGATGATTACCGAGGCACAGACGCACAGCAGCCTGTCCTCAGGCCAGGCATCCAAGCTCTACGGCATGCTCAACTTTCTCGAGCAGGGCATGTACGGAAGGTTGGGATGCGCAGGTCTGGCAGCCATTAAAGCACGCCAGACAGAGCGCAACCGTGACCTCACTCCAGAGCTGCAGCGCAACTTCGATCTAATTCACTCCATCCTTCGCCACCGACCTTGTCGAGAGCTTGCCGTGAGACCGTCCGAATGTTTGCGGTTTGTTGTAGCCTCTGACGCAGCTTTGGAGGAACCGAAGCAAGGCACCGGAGGATTTTTAATTGTCTGGCACGATCCGGTGGGACCGGTTCGGGAAGCCTTCATCGCCAACATTTCTCCGGAAGTGTACCAGCTGTGGGAGCCTGGAGATAGGCAGATAGCCCAGTTGGAAATGGTGATGATCATTTATGCCCTCACATATCGGGCGCAGGCCTTTCGAGGCCGTCGAGGCATCTGGCTGATCGACAACGTCGCTAGCCTCATGTGTCTGATTCGGGGCCGTTCCCAGTCACCCGATCTGGAACGCATGTGTGGTTTGATTCATGTCATGCTGTACGCTTTGCGTACCTGGATGTATTGGGAATACATTCCGTCTAAGAGTAATTGGGCCGACGCCATTTCAAGACTAGGTTGGTCCGATCCGTGGTGGCGAACCAACGGATTCACCCCTTTTTCCGTCTCTTGCCCTCTCTGCCTTTGGCACCTTCCGCTGCCCGCAGTGATCCGAGTCGTAGAATTTCTCTAAGTGCGTTGGGAGGATTTGAAGTGCATTGGGAGTGGTTTCCGGAGTGACCGGAAGGATACCACAAGGGTCTGATTGTGTCAGGCCTGCTGATGCAGGTAACCCAACGCAATTATCCTGCTGGACATGGCAGGTTGAAGACTATACTGGCAAGATGACTGAGGAAAAAGGGATTGTGTGCGGACCACCGTAGCTACGAGAGTCAACCTTGGAAAGAAATGTAAACATGTTTCAGGTCTGGCAGGCTTGGGTGAACATGTATTCATTACTGCCATAGGTTTGAACCAACGAATGTTTTGGCTCAAGTGACTTGGCCAAAATAGCGTTTGTTCTCTCTTTTTCCCACCCAGCCCACCCTGGTGTAAGGGCCCCCGGTGGGGT